GTCCAATCAGATTCTAATAACGGTAGCATTTAGGACGTCAGCAGGAATCTGACCGTCCAATCAGATTCTAATAACGGTAGCATTTAGGACGTCAGCAGGAATCTGACCGTCCAATCACAGACCAGATTCATAGGCGCATTAGATGTTTGTAAAGTGACCTTCTCAGGAGTGACAGCCGTGACAGCCAATCACGGAAGAAAAGATGGAGGGCCAATCAGCAACTTGTGGCCGGGCTAAACTCAGAGAAGCGGGATTCAGCTTGAGCTGCGGTTTTCCGCTCGGTCCTAGTGCTCGACACACTCGTGCACTGTACTCAGGCCCGGTCGCACCACAACCAGGCCTAAGGCAGCTGTTGCTGGGAATTCGGCATGTGGGTGTCTGAGCTGTTTTTTTTTGTGTTTTTTTTTTCTTTTTCTTTCTTGCTTGTAATAAAAAGGGGCTCAAACTACTGGATTGTAATTTGTTATTCTGTAATGTCTAAAGCTTCCAGGTTGGTCTCTCACCTGTTTGTCCTGCAGGTCTGATGACAGCTCATAGCTCTCTGACAGTGAGCGCGAGCGCTTGATGGCCTCCTCCTCTGCCTGCTTGCGGAGGATGGATTGGGAATGCGGAAGCTTTGATCGGCGGGGTCGCAGTTGGCTTGGCAGAAAGATGTGTCCGTAGAACTGGCTGTCCAGCTGGTCCAGGCCGAGGCCTGAGCCGTGGGTCACTGGCCTGCAACCATAGCTGCCACTGGGATCCACAGAGACGCCCACCGCACTGTCAGGAGCATCACCTTCCACACTGTGACACACAAACACATTCAGATCAGACGAGTTCCTGGCTCTGTGTGTCAGCCACAAACATGTGACCTATGGAAAGTGGACTTTGGTCCTGCTGCCACCGTCTAAATGCAAGGAGGGAATTTATAGCAGCAGTCTGGGTGCTGCAGATCATCTGCTCTGTGCATGCAGATTAAGCCCTGAACTTCAAAGCAAAGCGAGGAAGTGAAGAGCCACATAAAGTTCTACAAAACACTTTCGTCACAATGTGACTCATCCTGAAAGTAAAGAGATCCTGGACCTCCAAACAGCTAATAACGCCAGCAAGAGGGAATCCTGCAATCAGCTGGTTTCCCATAGATAGAAGTCACTTTGTGGCTGGATGATCTGATTGATCTGGAGCCATAAAGTGACCCAAGATGATGATGAAATAAAATGAACAGAAATGACCTCAGCAGCCGATCAGCAACAGCCTAAAGCAAACTGCAGAGATTAACCATAGATTTCCTCCCTCCACACACTGATGAAGCTTCATGAGCAAACAGAGAGCTTTATTTCTGAAAGTAGGCAGACAGGAAATGGGAATAGAGGAAGGAGGAAGCATTCCAAATCCTCAAGTCAGCAGCCTACTGGTGGTGGTCTGCATTCAGTTCCACTGGGTGGAACAGTGGTCTGTATTCGATTCCACTGTATAAAAAGCAGTCTTCAGTCAGTTCCTCTGGGCGGAACAGCGGACTGCAGTCAGTTTAACTGGGCCATGTAGCTAACCATGTAGCAGGGTGGGGTGTATTTGTCTCTATGGTCATCTGACCCTGGATCAGACTGTGGGAGTGGGGCAAACTCAGAACCTCAGACTTCCAAGCTCTATGCCCTAACAAATAGGCTGCCACTCTTAGTTTCCCTAACAGCAAAGCCAGAAAACCTCTTCTTTTTGAAACTTTGTATCGTCCACCAGGTCCTTACTCTGAATTTTTAGATGAGTTTTCAGAGTTCCTTTCTGATTTGGTATTAAATACTGACAGGATCATCATAGTGGGAGATTTTAACATCCATGCTTAAGAGCAGCCTTTAATGCTATCATTTTGGCTTTGTTCAAAATGTGAATAGTCCCACACATTCTCATCTTCATACTTTGGATCTTGTGCTGACATACAGCATAGAATGTGAAGAAACAATAGTATTTCCTCACAACCCTGTCCTCTCTGACCACTTTTTACTAACCTTCAGGATTACATTAACAGAGTTCTCCTCCCCCAAAAGAAGGTTTCTCTCTCCTCTGTCGCTGACCAGTGCAGCAGAGGGCAAAACCTTAGCTTATTCCCCTTCACAGGTTGATGATTTTGTTGATGGGGTTGCTAGTTCTCTGCGTACTGCCTTAGACAACGCAGCTCCTTTGAAAATGAAAAACTTTAAAAATAGTAAGCTGGCTCCTTCGTTTAATGCAGAGCTGCGCACTTTGAAGCAAAATGCTAGGAAACTAGAGAGAAAATGGCACTCTGGAAGCCTACAGGAATCTAAAAAATAGTTAACTGATGTATAAGAGGACCCTTTGTAAAACAAGAGCAGCTTATTTCTCCTTATTAACAGAGGAGAATAGGAATGATCCTAGATATCTTTTTAACTCACTCAGAGCCATAGCTTACCATACCAAACCAACTTTATTTATGAAGCACTTTATACACCAGACAAGACCAAAGTGCTGTACACAATCATAACATTCAATGCAATTATAAAAATAGAAAAGATCGAGTATGAAATACATATTAGTATACAAACAGAATAAAACAGTGAAACCTCTCAAATTGTGCCAAAAGCCAAGGAAAAAAAGATGAGTCTTAAGAAGGGACTTAAAAATAGCAAGAGAAGAGGCCTGTCTTCTGCTCAAAGGCAGATCGTTCCATAGCTTAGGAGCTGCCATAGAAAAAGCACGGTCCTCTCTGAGCTGCATTTTGTCTTTGGGACTCTCAGAAGCAACTGATCAGCTGACCTGAGGGAACGGTAGGGTGTGTAAGAATGTAACAGTTCAGACATATAAGAAGGGGTAAGGCCATTCAGAGTTTTAAAAACAAATAAAAGAATTTTAAAATGAAAACTAAAATGTACTGGCAGCCAGTGTACGGAAGCTAAAACAGGGGAAATTTGGTCGAATTTTCGTAGCTTAGTCGAACCGTCCATTCCACCTGCTCTTAGCAGGAATGATTGTATGGGATTCTTTATAAATATGATTGATCTTATTAAAAATAAGAGCATGAGCATTCCTCTATCCGTGATTGGTTTGTCTCTGGAAGGTGGGGCAGCATCTGAGGTAGTCATGGAATCTGAACCGCTTTGATCCAGTTAAACTTTCAAAGTTAGCAAAACTATTGTCTTCATCTAAGCCTTCTATCTATCTGATCGATTTCGGTTTGTTTACGTTAATGATAAATCTTCCTCATCGTCACATGCAGCTCTGCTAATTACTTTCTTTTTCTCTTGTCATTTTTTTTCTGGCTCAGTTGTTTTTTCAACTTACTGTTTTATTTTCAGGCACTAAGTTCTGTTTTCTTTTCAGAAACCTTCACTTTCTTGGATTACCCTTCAATCAGCCTCCCTGGTACTGCTCACCTGTGTCTTGTTGTTGATTCCCTTACCTCTTTAAACCTCTCCCTCTGCAGCCTTCGTTGCCAGTTCATCTTTGTCACTTGTGTCAAGCGTTCAATAGGTATTTGTTTGTTGTAGGTATTTTGCTCTACCCCCTTTTGACGAGCCTCTACATATGTGGATTTTTTGCCAGTCGCTCCAGCTAATTGTGCTGACTAGCATTCGAGTCCTCTTTTGGTTGCCCCATGAGACCCATGCTCTGTGGAGTACCACAGGGATCAGTTCTAGGAGTTCTCTTCAGTAGCAACCTTGGTAACTTAGCAGCTCTCTTTAATATATATATATATATATATATATATATATATATATATATATATATATATATATATATATATA